TTTCATCAAAAGTTGGTGAACTGGACATTTTTTTTCTCGATCATGGCGTCGCGGCTACAACGACGCATGAATATTTAATGAGATTGAACGGAGTTATCTGCCCTTGTCGAAAGTAGTGTAAAAAACGGCCTTATTGTAGCTGCGTAGATTTACGAGAATTTGAACATTGGTAAACTACTGTCGCCTTAATTTAAGTTTGCGTTTACTTTTTCACATTGTATTGTAGAAGCAGGAGTCGTTTCAACAAAAAGCAGTATGACACGTTTTTAATATCTAATGTATGTAACAAGTAAATGACTTATGTTATAGACTTTCATAGGATAAAACAATAATTGTCCTAACCACCACAGTGCCAAATTAAAGTTCTTTTTATGCTGTTATTTGTCATGAGAGCTCTTAAAAATAACTTAAAAACGAATGTATACATAGGTCTCTTTGGTGTGTTGAATTAGAAATTTTTTTTAATAAATCTACCAAATAACATCTTTCAGGTGTTTATAAAATATCAATCTGATATATATCGGTATTCACAGTTTAAAATTTTGTCTCACCTATTTGCATTACGGATTAAAACTTATTGAATATAGTGCAAAACTGAAAAAAAAACCGGTTGATATTCAAATATGAGCAAAGGCTATAACCAAACAAAATTTTTACTACATAATGTATTTTATAAACATATGTGTGTTTTTCGGTAAAGTGTTATATCTATTGTGTTCAAAACCTATGTGTAAAATTGCCATTTGTGGTCAAATATTAAAAGATTTAAAATTGTTAAGACGTCACAGTGACATAACCAGTACATGTTTTGTACTACTGTGAAAGTGCTTTTATTCGTGGGTATCAATTTTCGTGGTTTGAGAAAATGTTGCATGTTCGTTGGTTCTTAAATTCGTGGATTTTAGTTTTCTGAAGAAAAAAAAATCGAGTGTAGAATATTACGTAATCACAAACGAACATTGTTGTACAAATATTCATTCTTTCATTACTGAAAACATTCATCAATGTTTTACAATTGTCCCGATGGAAGGAAATTGCAAAGTAAACATTTTAATTGTTGCACACCAGTAATCAGAATTGATGACCCTTATTAACCCGAAATCGAACAGACTAACAATAATCAAAGGTGTTAATTGTTCCATAAACATGTCACTTAAAGAAAACGGTTACATACAAAATTTCCATAAATGTATTTTGAAATTTACAATTAATGTTTGTGAATTAAAAAGAAAGCCTTATATAATTTTTTTTTAATACGAAAATGTTATCACCGTAAGTATGACTTTCGTAATTTTATATGAAAAATAAAAAGTTAAAAGTCGTACAGTTAAACAAATGTTAAAGTTTAAATTGTTCAAATCTGTCTGAAGATGTACATGTATAAATAGTTCATAGTGCGTTTGCTGAAATTCGAAGTATTCTCTAGATTATATGCCCGTATCCATGTAGTTAAAACTACATGTAGATCCTTGCATGTCTTGATTTGGAATGCAGTTGTAATAGTTCGTTGGACACTTAAATTCGTGGATAAAGCCGGCCACGAAAACCACGAAAATTGGTACTCCACGAATAAAAGTGATTTCACAGTATAGTGCTTATATTATAATCATCTATCAATGTATCAATGAAATAAATTTATTTTTGTTAGTCTTAAATACTAGTTATTTTAATACTTTTGTAATTGAGGTTCTTATCATATATCCTCCTATGTTTGCGTTTTTACATTTTTTTTAAACGTTTTGTAAGTAATTTTTATTGCAGAAAGTTTACGCAAACAAAGATCAGAGAATAGTGGTAAAAATGGTGCTGAAGTAACAACAAAGATTAAACAAAATGATAATCTTAATAGAAACGACGATACCATGAAGGGTAAGACAGATATAACATATCTACATATCTAGGAATATTAATTATGAAGGATCAAAGCGAGCTCTAATTAGTTCAAAAGTAGTAAAGCACTTGTACTGATTGCCTTTTAAGTCTTAGAAAACAAGATTTATTTATCAGTTGGAATTGAATTTTGTACTAGCTTTTAGCAACTGCAAGTGCTCATTTTATCGGTACTTTGTGTCTTTCTTATTTTGTTTTTGTGCTTGGTGCCTATCAAATAAGTCAAGTATTTTTCACTGATTTATATAGTTTTGTTATTTTTGTACTGTTACACAACTGTCCAAGGTTTACAGTAGAGTTGAGCGCTCACAACCATGCTCGATCCCTTTCTGTAAATAAAGTCAGCTAAAAGGTATATACGTATCGTAGTTTAAATGAATTATCTTTTTTAATGATTATTTTTTGTATAATTACCCTTAGAATATGATTAAGAATGAACTAACTTTTTATCTTACAAATACGAATCAGAAGGCTACACCTTTTGCAACCACCCCACTTTATTCAAATGTAATTTATTGTACTCTTTTAAAAAAGGTACATAATAGATGGCATCGACAATGTAAAGAATTCCCATTATTTGTGCATAATTTGTACGCAAGAATCTAACATGTTTTAATCAAGTAAAGAGTTTGTCTTGTGACATACACATAAACATTTGGTGGATTAAATTTCCCATTTGTAATCCCGTTCGGTGGAATTGTTCGCATTTGCATCTTGATCAATGAAGGATAACATAAGCTAAAGAGAAGTGAATATAATTCAATTAGAACAATCAATGGATAGTAAAGCAGCAATACACTAGTAGAACTAATATGATTAAAAAAAAACATGTCAAACGATTTTCATAGATTCTGAAAGCAAGATCAATAACATTAATCATGTCAACGGTAAAAATAACATTAATCATGTCAACGGTAAAAATAACATTAATCATGTCAACGGTAAAAATAACATTAATCATGTACCAAATGTATTGCACCAGATAAGCATTTCGACAAAGTACTAAAATATGAAAACAACACGTTATAAATTCCATGCGTCCGAAGCGCTTTTCTGGATTTACCTTCATCAGGAACGTTCAAAGACGAATATTTGAAGGCCCAGAATGTATAATAATCTAAACAGTTGAAGAGCTATATGACTAAAAAGGACCTAAAAAATAGCCAAATTTATCTAAAAGTCAACTTGGCCTGAGGGAGTTGAAACCTTGGTTTCTTATAATTTTAAAATTTATGAACGGTAAAACTGTCCCTATATAGAGAGGCATTCCTTAGACCCTAAGAGTAACCGCTGTACTTCTAGTTAGATATTAAAGATTATCTCCATTAACAAACAAGAATAACATGATCTTTTGCATTGCTCAAATCCAATTTATGAGAATCGATGATAATACATAGAAATGCAAGATGCGATGATTTCACAAGTATTTTATATATCCTCTTATCAAAAGGTCTATTTAACAACAAAAAATTGGAAGGATAATTCTTATTGTGCTAACTTCTTTTATAGATAATGTTGCCATTAAGAGCTAGGAGCTAAATACCCTTTTTAATAAATCTTACCACAACAATAATTCCCTATATGTGTAATAACATTTTGTTGAAACTTTAATCAATAAAATCTGTATCTTTTTCTGAATTATACAATAACTAATCGAAGAATTTATATATAGAAAAATATTCTACGAGTGACCAAACAACATATTAATCCACGAATGCTTGTAGCATGAGATAATTATTAGTGTTGTTCGGTCACGAGTTGAATATTTTTCTATATTTGAATTCTTTGATTAGTTATTCTTTTTATTACATTAACAATGGGCTTTTAATGGAAATAATGTAGGAAGTGCAAGGAACTATATCCTTTTCTACGCATTCACAATTTGCTCTGATGCAATGTTATTGACAACGTCTTGACAACACCTATTTTTGCATGACGTCAGAGGAGTGAAATTATCGGTTTTATTTCATTCGGAAATCACGGTAACTAATTGTAGTTAATGTTATAAATTTTTTAAAACAATGAATATACATTCGATTCATTTCAATATGAGATGTCACTGCAAACACATTGGTATTGAACCAACTGAGAAATATAAACTCCATTCGATGGAGCCGACAGCATATCCTCATTACGAAAAGGATAATATCAAGTTGGAAGAAAACAAGTCGTTATAAATTTACCTTAACGATTTCCGTTCAAATTTCTCTTTCCGAGATTAAGAACGTCAGTTTGATCAATAGATTTCGTGAATTTCTAAAAATCTGAAGCATTAAACAAGAGACAATTAATCACATTAATATCTTCAGATATTGTTTATATATCTATTAAGTGATATATTTATTTAAACAAAGCAATACGAAACACCCCGAATAGTCTACATGACACTGTCAATCCTTTGGTGGAATCATTCAGTTCAAAACGAACACAAAGAGTATCGAATAAAACAAACAAACAAAACCCCCAAAATTACAAAAAATGAAAAACAGAATAAAACGAAACGAAACGAAAAGAAACGAAACAAAAAAGAACAAGGAATTATAACCACTCTAAAAGATGCTTTTATTGTAATATAAAACTAAATAGTATATTTTTTGCTGCATTTGGTCGCATTTCTTGACCATAACCTCTATTGGGAATGCAAAGAGGCAGAAATGAAGATTCTAAATATGTTTGAATATATTGGAAGATAAGTATATCCATAATAACTAATCAGCAGAGAATTCATAAAAATGTGCATGATGAATCAAGTTTATGTTAGGTCATCGACTATTGGGCGTTTGATAAGTTCGGAAAGAGCAATATCAATGATATTGCGTCAAAGTAAAACATAAATATTGATGCGCATGTTAGGATTTTTTTTTATTCAACGGTTTTACAGTTTTGGGTCAAATTGTTCTTAGACGAGTACTTCTGCCATGTTGTAGATTTCATTACGCAACTTTTTTCTTTTCTTTTTACGATTATATTGGTAATTTTAAATCATACGTATGAAATGATTATATATATTGTTTCTTCAAAACTTCATTACTTCCATACATAAATCTAAACATAAATCAATACATATATGCATGTAATTTATGAATGGTATCCTTCTTTTTTCAGAAATATCCAAGCCTTTGGCGATAATTGGTACCTCAGTGGGAATAACAAGCATAATCATATTATTTCTTATTATACTGATTATCATTTTCGTATGCAGACGAAGGTAAATTTATTTTCGTTTGTTATATCACTTTCAAAATACTATTAAAAAAAATTGATGTAGTGTTTTGTAAACGGGTGTTTGTCTTTTCTTCGGTTTTCGTCTTTTTGCCTTGGTTTTGTCGGTCTCTCTTCAAATTGAGATTTTTCCTGTAGTTTCGTCTGTCTCTTCTTTATAGGTTAAAATTTGTACTCTTGAATACTCCTTCTCAAAGTGAGACTGCATGGATTTTTAGTTTTGGTAATTGAATGACAGATGTTCTAACGAGTCGCAATATCTGTCAATTCACTAATAACACACAACAAGTACCGATTATCAGGCTTTCTGCATGCTGAAACTGGTAAATATCATTGCTCAGTCACAATTTGAAGCTTTTCGTCGAGCGAGTTAATAGGGGTTCATATAGTGTCGAGCACTTTATATTCTATAGTATCAATATGATGGAAATCTCTAAATAGATTTATCGGACTGTCTTTATGTTTTTTCGTGATAATATTGTTTGTAGGACTAAGACTTTTGGTGAAACACTCTGACACGGTCATAAGTTAGGGTCAAATATGTTAAGATTGGGTCAAATATATATGCTTATACCTGTTGTTCAGTGGTTGTCGTTTGTTGGCGTGGTTCATAGTGTTTCTCGTTTCTCGTTTTTTATATAGATTAAAACGTTGGTATTCCTGTTTGCATTGTTTTACACTAGTCATTTTGGGGCCTTTATAGCTTGCTGTTCGGTGTGAGCCATGGCTCCGTGTTGAAGGCCGTACTTTGACCTATAATTGTTTACTTTTTATACATTGTGACTTGGATGGAGACTTGTCTCATTGGCACTCATACCACATCTTCTGATTTATATTAAGTATGGTCAAGCAGGTTTGACGACACAACGCCGTGATATTCAATTTAATAAAGAGCTGAGCAGAGCGATACAATCAGAAGGAAGACCGATTAATACTCCTTGTTAGTGATGAACCACAAAAAAGAGTGGCAAAAGTATAATGTTCTGATTAATACTGAAAAATAACTAAATATGATATTTTAAAAAACGACATTAAATATCTTGGTAGAAAGATTTGGATGAATTTTAGAAAAGGGAATAAGAAAGTAAGGAAGTTATTGAAACAACTGTTCTCAGTTGTCTATGCATCATTTTTGTTAGACCAGCTTCTTTTTTCTCTGATCAAAAATGACGGCCATAAGTTAAGGATAAAGTGTAAAAAAGAAAAATTAGGAAATCATAACTTTTCCAAAAATAATTTCTGCACCTTTACTGCAATTCAAGTAGTATTATGCATATTATTTGATATTTATGTATGTATTGGTTTATCTAGTGATATTAGTCAAAAGTGAACTCCCTTATCAGAAAGCGGGATATGAGAATTTACAAAATGTCGACGTTAAATTTTGTAAGTTGTAATACCATCCTAATCTATGAAAACGGGAAGGTTTTAACTAAAGTTCTACTATTAAAACTCTATTTCTATAAAAAATATTTGTATTTGTTCGTAATTACACACCAGTCAAAATGTTAAAAGTAAATATGATTAAAACAGCTATTTAATTCCTTATAATTTCATCGATGTTTAACAGATCAAAGAAAAAGAAGCGGGAACAACTGACAAGACTACAGTCTATCGACCAAAGATCTGAGATGGCAAATCTTGATAGAGGTACCTCCAGTACAAACAATGAAGGACACAATATGTTATCTACGTACATATCTTTGAATACGGGGGACGCACCAGGCCAGTACTGTGTTCTCGATCCCTCTGTTACGCAATATGAGGAAGCCTTTAACAGCCAGTTATCACCACAGGTTATAAGGTTCGGTGTTGCAGAGGGTAACGAGAATGTTTACCATGAAATTGATTAAGATAAATTCGAATCCTCACAACATATGGAGGAAGATCACCAGAAGCAACTAGAAGTTAAGGATTTAATTTTTTTTTACCATAATGATGAGCCATTTGGGTATGACAAAACATCTTACAATGTAACATCCGATGAAAAATATCAAATTAGCTAGGAAAGAATAATACTAGCATAAATATGTACTAGTATATATTGCTCGTGTGTATCAGATAAAATATACATTGACCCTTTAGTATATAATCATAATATTCTTTGTCATTGGTTAATATACTGACAATCAAGGACAGTTTATTATAGGTAATTTCAAACTTAAATATTGAAAAGGTTTCAAAGTAGAATAAACTGAAATGCAGTTTGTTTGGTGAATTCATCACAATTTTTATCATTGTCAAACGAAAATATTGGATATATTTTCCTATCCTTTTTTCATACTTGATGATAAAGCTTACTAATTAGATATAAGAAGATGTGGTATGAGTGCCAATGAGACAACTCTCCATCCAAGTCAAATTTTTTAAAAGTAAACCATTATAGGTCACAGTACGGTCTTCAACACGGAGCCTTGGTTCACACCGAACAGTTAGCTATAAATGGCCTCAAAAATTACTAGTGTAAAACCATTCAAACGGGAAAACCAACGGTCTTATCTATATAAAAAACGAGAAACGAGAAACACTTATGAACCACATCAACAAACGACAACTACTGAACATCAGATTCCTGACTTAGGAAAGGTGAAATTAAATGCAGCGGGTTTAAACGTTTTAATGGTACCAAACCTTCACCCTTTTTCTGAAACAATAGTGTAACATCACAACATAGAAAGACACACTATAAAATATCAACTGAAATAGCTTAACTCAATCAAAGGACATATTAACACCATTGAACATACACTGAACAAATAAATTTGATCTATGATACAATGTAAATACAAAATAAATAAACTAAGGGAAGAATAATAAAAGTAACATGTTATTTCGGTATGAAATGTTAAACAATTAAAGAAACCTTTATTGAAATTTATGAAACTTTTTTATATTTAGTGTTGTCTCCTTTTGATTAGAGAGCGCACAGAGCTATTACGTGCACTAAGAAAATTTCATGATCTCCTTAGTATTTGCACAATCCCTTTTCGACTTCGAAATGTGGACATAACTTCTTCTACTTTTCAAAATATTGATAATACTAAATTGTTTTACTAATGTTTGTTGTGTTATGTTAATTGTTTATTTTTACATGCATTTGTTTGTTTTTTGATTACTTGCGAATAGCTGTTTTGTCAACAAACTGACTTGTCGTTTGTTCAATTGTCTTCTTTTTTTCTTCTTTTTATGGTTTTTTCTAGACACTTGTTCACATATTAATTTTAAAATAAAGGTAACAGTTTGTATATTTGAAGCATCGAAAAAAATATCTGTGATTTTATCTTGTACTTATTCATTAGGATCCAGAAAATCCTCCTAGTACAAATCGGAATTCAAATATCTACTAGTAGAAATTGGAATTCTGATTTATACTAATTAAAATCCAGTTCCAATAGATTTTAGACAGCTTCAGAAGGATGTCTTTGCCTCTTGGTTTTGAATGATATCCATATCTTACAGGTAGCGATATGACCACAGGGGTAACGAATTTATGGTATGGTCTATTTGTTATATCTTTTCCGGATAACTATCACCAATAGTAACGTCTGATGTTTATGACGAATACTTAGCGACAAAACATCTTGTATAACGTTTATAAGGCTTAGCTTTCAGGAGCACCTAAGATCACCCCCAGTTTTTGGTGGGGTTCGTGTTGTTGAGACTTTAGTATTTCTATGTTGTGATTTGTATACTGTTGTTTGTGTTTGTTTATTGGTCTTTTTCTATATTTTTTGCCATGGCGTTCACAGTTTTTTTTTTGACTTATGAGTTTGAATGTCCATTTGGTATCTTTTGCCTCTCTTTTTTTAAGTGTATGAAAAAAGCAAAACAACAAAAAATACTAAACTCCAAGGAAGATTCAAAACGGAAAGTCCCTTAACAATTGGCAAAATCAAAAGCTCAAACACATCAAAAGAATGGAAAAACAACTGTCATATTGCTGACTTGGTACAGGCATTTCCTTATGTAGAAAACGGGGGATTAAACCTGGTTTTAAAGCTAGCTAAACATCTCACTTGTATGACAGTCGCATAAAATTCCATTATATTGACAACAATGTGTGAATAAAACAAACAGACATAATAGGTAAGAATGTAAAAAATAGGGATACAGCAGTCAACATTGTGTTATAATCTCAATCACTATAAAAACAAACAAATATGTCAACAAAGAAAAACAAAATGGCATATAGACAAAGCACATACGCAAAAATGAAACACAAGAATACAAAAACTTACCACAGCACAACAACACAATGGCGGGATGTACAAGTACCGAGCTAAAGTATATTACCAAAAGTAGACCAAACAGTCAGCGTTACTAGTTTACAAAGACAAATAAAAGAAAAATATAACACGTAATTAAGATGATAAACAACATCAGTACCCAGAATCTATACATCAAGACCATCATGTATTATTTGTGAAGTTGATACGGAATATTTATCAACAAGATCTTGGTATCTTCTGATGAACTTTTTTAGAAAAAGGACGAGACGTTTATTGACAGAACCCTGGTTCATCAACTTTCTGCTCAGACACTAGTGACGTTTTACAAAGTCTGAGTAGCAGCTGCAAGCTCTAGAATACCAAATGAGTTTGGAAATATATATCCCATATGCAGGTGAAGTTGGTATATTGCTACTAAGGTGGGGGAAATTGATAATTTCAAAACTAAAATCGTCTTGTTTGTCATAGATTCTGGTACTGAGATGACCACGTATGTCAAATTCGAGGTATAAGTCTAAAAATGATGCGGAGGAAGCCGTGTCTATTGTTTTTTTCATTTTTAGTTCTGGAGGATATATTAATGGAACCCAATCAGAAAAGTTTGGATTGTTTATGGAAAGAACATCATCAATATATATGAATGTGAAATTAAATGGTCTAGCTTCTTTGATCTTCTTGATTTGACAAGTGTCTGAAGAAAGTCTGACTCATATGAAAATAAGAAGAGGTCGGCAAGGAGAGGCGCACAGTTCGTTCCCATAGGAATGCCGACAATTTGTTGAAAAAGTCTACCTCCAAATTCAACAAGTATGTTGTCAATGAGAAATTCCAGCATACTTATCACTGTATTCTGTGTAGCATGTTTTACATTTTTGTTCACTATTAACAAAATATGCCGTTTGGTATCACAAACTAATAAATTTATAGCGTATGCTACAATTTTTATATTGAAAAGCATTGTGGATTATTTCTTTTAGACGATATTTCAATTTCACATGGGGAACGGTGGTATACAGGGTTGAAAAATCAAATGTATTAATAGAATTAATTTCAGAGAAAGATCGAGATTTAAAATTATCTAGAAGTTCTTTAGAGTTTTTTTTTAAATCCACATATTGTTAATACCAGTACGCGAGTAAACAGTTTCACAGTATTTCTGAAGACCCTCTTTCACTGCGGACAGAATTTTTGTCAATCTAATGGACAATTCCTTTGTAGAACATGCAGATGAGCCGGCAATGAACCGTTGTTTGTACGGATTTTTGTGAAGCTTATGTATCCAATACAAACAATGTAAGTCCTCAGATTTGCTGTTCAATGTAATGTTCATTGAAACCATGAAGGACTTATGATTCGCCAAAATCTCATCCTTGTCTAATGATATGTTTTTGTATGTGGGATTACTTGAGTGCTCATTTATTCCTAATTCTTTTACAAGACACTTGTAGTAGTACGATTTACATACAAAGACAATTTTTTTGAGGCTTTGTCAGCAGGAATAACAATATATTTATCGTGAAGAGATGAAAGACATTTCACAGCTTATTTGTCTCTGAAAAAAGACTTTGGTAGATCATTCACACAGTTTTTCAACTTATAAATTCGACGTTTTATCAGAGACCTGACTGTTTTGACCCATTCTGACAAAGTGTTTAGTTCAACTTCTTCTCCTTTAGCCCATGCTTTAGAGTAGTCATCAATGAAATCCATAATTATTTTGAAGGTATGGTTCCCATTGATGTGTTGGGGTTCTCTGATCTTAGAACCATGAGATATCACCATTCGGAGATGTTCATTTTGAATTATGTTTAGATCCCCAGTAATAACATAACCAAGAGGGGCTGTAAATATAAGGCGAGTGGGAACAGTCACATGTCAGAAAGTTTTTTTTAGATATTCTACTCTATGAAATAGTTCTACATTATCAAAATATGGGGATATCAAATTATGAAAATACTTGAAACGTTCATTTTACCACAGTGATTGATGAGTTTCAATTTAAGACAATGTTTGGTATAATCATATAGTGATTTTAAATTAAATAGAAAAACTCATATGTACGTACCCAAATGCATTTATATATTAGCTAGCAAAGATTTCAATATTTCTGAAATATTCCAATTGTTTATTGAAATTTAAAATTGCCTTGAATAAAATAATTCTATATTGCAAGTGTAAAAAAGAGAAATAAATGGAGATTAGTTGTTAGTTCATTTCTTGGCAAACTGAATTTAACCTGTCCAGAAAAATGTCCACATGCTGTTTCTGTAAAGTAAGAGTGGGTCACAAGTCTGAGAGAGTTTTCGCCACAGGCTACGGTGTTTACACCTATAACAATATAATAATTGTACTATTATGCTTTTAAATGTACAATTACATTTTTTATTAAAACATTTTTTGAATCATGTATTTCATTTTATTTTCATATATCTTTCATATAACAACGTATCAAATAGTGTCATACAATTACATGTAAAGTTTTCAAAACATTCAACTTTGAGAGCGGTGATTTATTCGGATGAGTTACTCAGTTTTAAGGTATGTCCTTGTACTTGCATCTCATTTGACCAACGACAAAACGTTATTCTATTGTATCTTTGCGTTCGTTATTCCTTATTCCGACCCCCCGTTAAATGTTTAACTCAATTATCATACATACCGACACATTACCCACATGCTGGGGTATTGCTGAAAACCGTATTTTCAAGATGATTTTTGGTTTTTGTTTTATTGAGTTGCTTTTCATTAACGCATGCCTAACATGTCCCTTTATTTACAATACTGATCATATTTTGTTGACGATTACTAGTATTAGGTGTATAGTATACCTTTTGATAATAACTTGGATATTGCTTTATTTCTGTCATCTGGACTTGGAAAATCTACTCTCCTGTTATGCCTAAACCTCGTACTCGGCTAAGCAAAGCTGGATATATTTTCTGAAATGAGGGTTTGCGCGTCTATGATGAACATCAACATGGTTTAAGCATGAGTATAAGTATCTTCGTAAAAGTCAAGACAACTTTTCATCAAATAGAAACAATATATTTTGAAGAATACAAGGTTTTAGTTTGATAAAACTCCGCCAGTGGAACATCTTTAAAAGTTCAGAAGTCTTCGTTTTATAAAGCACAAGAAAAAAATTATGTCAGATAAACAAATATTGTTATGGACTAAAATAATGTGCGTCCATTGCAATTTGGTAATTATGTAGTAAATCATCATATAGAAGTACCTTTTATCATGTTTTTTTTCTGTACGACTGCCAAATAGTGCATCCCTCTCCCATATGCGTTGACATCTAGAAACTCAATTTGATCAAAATCGACGTTGCTTATATCTTGCACAGAAAAAAGGTTTTAACTAATATACAAAACTTTATACGTTTACGCGTACGAAGAGTACCTAAATAATAAACAATTTTAAACTTACCTGAATTTTTTCTACCTCAAGCCAAAGATAATTTCCAATTTCTGAAACTCGATTTTGAAGATTGTCCCGCTTGATTACTTGAATTACAGCTTCTAGTAAAACAACCTTTGATGGGTCTCCAATCTATGTGTTAAATATTCTGAAAGCTTTAAAATAAAAAGGCACGAATTGAAAGTCAAATTGAGAAGAAGAAAAAACGGAAAATTTCACAAATTTTAGTTCTCACATAACTACTCAGAAAAACAAATACTGTTCTCAATTTTAAATGAATAAAAAACCAATTGTATTATCTAAAAAATAACTATCAACAGAATCATGATTAAGAAAATACAACAAATTCTACACGAGGCAACACGAACATTCACTTTACTGTACTGATTTATAAGTTTCATTTAACTCGTCTTACACATTCGTTGTAATGGAAATCATCTCATAACTAACAAAAAAGCATTTTCTTTCCTTTCAAAAGGTTTGGTTTCGGTCTTTGATAAAGTTCTATATAAAAATGAAAACCAACTATCTGTCAATTTCATGCGTCCGAAGCGCTTTTCTTGATTTACCTTCATCAGGAACATTCGAAGCCGAATATTTG